CTGCGAGACATAGGATACGCAACCCTAGCCCCTGAAAGAACATCCCCTACAACTTGGCGTGACTTCACCCCGCCTGCCCGGATACTCCTACGATCGTCACCTCTGGCCATTATGACATCATCTGTGGCGACTTGCTGCCCGGCGGCGAAGCGATGAGATCATCAGACTTTGTGTCTGGCTTCTTGGCAATCTTCATAGATGTGGTCTTTGCAGGACTACACACACACACACGGCAGTAGGGATTCTTAGGGAAGTGCGCGAGGAGGTGCTCTTGCGGACTTAGCTTCGGCCATAGAGCTTCCGTTTGGGTGGCCCAGAAGACTTCGGGACTAAGTCAATCAGACGTCTTTCGTCCCCTGGATCGACAGCAGGGGCACAGGCTTCTCAGGTGCACGAGTGCCTGCAGCCCCTTCTTTAAAAAAGTCAGAAAACTCTTCTAGGGAAGGAGGTTCTACAGCAGCTGACCCTCAGACACCCGAAAGTGTGCTCCCTTCAGCGCTCGACCGCCGACCTAAGAAGCTGTGCTGCTGCCCCAACACGAGGGGCAAAGTCGTCCGCCTCCTCGAAGTACCCTGCCTCAAGCTCCTCGTCGCTGGTGGCAACTCGGTGGGTGCATACGCTGGCAAATCATCAGTGCCATCCTCGATGTCTTCGTCGACTAGGGAAAACAGCGTCCGACTTTACGGCGCTGGGAGAAGCAGCCGCCTCGCAAGGACTTAGCTGCTCAACTGGCTGGTGAACCAAAGGTGACAACCTTTCATCAAACTGCGGCACGTACTCAACCGACGACTCTACAAGCATTATAAGCCGAGCACCTCTAGAAACCTTACGCGCGGTGCACTTCGGAGGCAGGAACACAGTACTGAGAAGAATCTTCAGGGTCCCACACGAAGAGAGCCGCCGGCCGAAGAGGTAGCAGAGGAAAACACAAAACAAGGCTTGAAGGAGGAAGCGCCCGACGCACTGACACAGGGGCTGCCGGAACTTGGTGGCCGAAGGCACCGCTTCGGTCTCCTGTCCCAACAGACGACTGAAGCAGAGCGAATGTCATCGAGCGGAATGCCCAACGGCAGAGTGATGCTCCGCGATCTTCAAAAACTTCCAGCTCGAACGGGGTAGGATGTTAGGGGATAGAAATTTGTTAAGCAGTAAGATGCAGGGTTCCGATGCTGCCGCTCTTGAGGATTTTGGGGATAAGTACCTGTGTGTCCTACATTTACAACTAATACTCCGATCGACTCACCCGGCCGGGAGAAGAATGGGGTCGTGAGGCCGCAGTGCGAGAAGGTCGGGGATGCAACAAGTGGCAGTCACCGTCGAACGACTAAGTGGCTGTGGGGCAAGGTTGAGCTGGTACTGGAGCTGCACAAGCAGAAGGTTAACCGCGAGGAGTTCGACAAGAACCTCCGGGCCAAACCTCAGGTGCTCACACCTCAAGCGCCAGCACTGGCAAAGACCGCCCTGCGCCCAATGCAGCACCGAACAAAAGGACCAAGAAAGAAAATCAGGACGAAGAGGTCCCTGCAGCACCCGCTCCCAAAGGAAGTAAAAGCAAAGGCAAATGCGACAAGTCCCCAAGGACGCCGCGCCAAGGTGATAAGGGCGGAGACAAAGGCAACACCAGCCCGAGATCTGCAAAGGTCATGTGGGTGAAGGACATGTCTGCGGCAGAGAAGAACAAAACTCCCTGCATGTTTTATGCCCACGGCATGTGTAGGGCCGATCCTTGCTCCTTCTTGCCCGACGACAAGAAGAAGAACACCGGTCCGCCTCCACGGCCAGCCCAAGGCAAAGACGCGGGCTAACGCAGCAATCGCAGCGGTCATCCCGGGAATGCCTGCAAGCAACCTATAGCCAATGACACAGACTGCAATGTGACGTGGCTGTCTCTTAAGCTGGCTCTTTGTCGGCAAGCGCCTTCTTGACAACCACTATCGGCTCCTGATTCAGCTCGGGCTCTTCCTTCGGAACACGTCGGCTGCGGTCAAGAGTGCAGCCGAAGCTTCAGAAGCCACGGGCTCTGATGGAGCGGGCTGCTCTGACGCAACGGCTTCGGCTGCAGGTGCAGGTTCCTCGGCAGGTGGCTCCGGTTCTGGCGCTGCTTGTGGCGCCGCCGGTAGCGCAGCCACTTGAGGGGTGGCGCCGCCACCGGTGGCCTCCAGATGCTAGCAACGGCCTCCGCAACTGCAGGTGTCCCGGGACTGTCTCGGGATGCCTTTGCCTCTGCTTTTGCCTCGCCCTCGGTGCTGGCTGTTAGGCGGGACCTCTAAGCACAACGGTGGCGGCGCAGGTGTCGAAGACCTGTTGGCAGCCGTCAACGCAATGTACCTGTCGTTTCCAGCCCGGTCCAGTGCAGCGCGAATCCACAGCGTCGGCGTGCCAGTTCAATACAATAACCTTGGTGTGTACAAAACAAGCTCATTCGCCTCCTTTCGCCGCCTCGCGCACCCCTCCGCACAAGTTTGCCCAAGCAGCCCCCACTCGGGCTACTGGGCGCTGGGTCTTACCTTAAGGCGCTGCGGTAAGTCTCGCCTACGGCTGATAACCAATCAAACGAACAAAACACAACCTGCACACAGGCCTACCGCAAGTCACTACGGGTAGAGAAGTTTTTTGTTACGGTCATCCTTGAGCCAAATACGTTAGCAACTGCTAAGTGAAACATGCATGCAAAACCGGCTACGCGCACTAGCCTAGGTACACAAAGTTCAAAGTAGCTATGCTTTACTACACCACTACTAGGTGTAAAGAGGTCGTGCTTTCTTGAAACTTATGTGTGTGCAAATACACATGTGAGAAATCACTGTAAAAGGACACACACACACACACACACGCACACACGCACGCACGCACGCACACGCACACACACACACACACACACCCACACACCGGCAGAGGTAGCAACAGCAGAAAAACTAGGCATCCCACTCGGGGGCGACAAGCAGTGGACAGTTTTTTGCACGGAGACCGACTTCGTTGAAGACCCAACTGCGACGCTGCGACCCTGATCCTTCGGGCTCCGACTCCTCGAGCCCCTTGGGGCCCGATAGATTCCAAAGCGAAAGGCCAAGATGCCTGGCCTAAGTGCTCGAAACCCACAAGGCTTAGACATCGACGGCCTTGAAGCTGTGGTACCTAGACTAGATGTTCCTTTTGTAGCCATCGCAACAACCTCCCGTCACAGGGTCCTGAGGTGTCATCGGGGGGCTGCTGGCCATACCCGCATCGCCCATGCCGAGGAAGCGTCCGTGATGCGCATTCCACAAGCCGATCAAGCCTGGATCATCCAAAAAAGAGAACTGAGCCCTACACCCTAAATCCCAAAGCATAGAGTTTAGGGTTTAGGGTTTCCTGGCAAGCCTGGATCATGCAAATCGGGAACTGAACTCACCCTTATGGTACCAACCTTTACACTGCACACACACTCAACAGACTGTCTAGACTCTGACTGAACGGTCTAAAGCATGAACCCGTTCAGGGTTTATGGCGCGGGTAGCAAGAAAAGCTTGCAGCAGGTAGCCACGCCGCCCCCTGCAGCCCTGAAGAGGCTCAAACAAGGTCCTGGAAGAAAAGTCTTAGACAAAATGCAGAAGTCTCTTGCAATTGTAAAGGCTGGTGTACAAAGCATATGCCGTGTATTGTCTTAGATGAACGAGGTTTTCATGCCTGCTGGGTGATGCCACCAAAGTTTGGCAAAGCGTGTGGGATTTTCGGGGAAGGCGTAAGCCCAAAGATGAAGCCAGGAGATGGTCACTGACCGCTTTAGGGTTTAAGCTTTACGGGACGTCATATTCTGATTCAAGCTATGAGACCAACAGGCCTAACATGTAAAATGGCCAAAGCGGCCTTTTTTCGGTGCAGGCTCCTGAAGCTAAACTTAGAGTATCCCTAAGGCAGGGGGCCTCGCCCATGAGAAAACCCTAACCCCTAAACCCTAAACCCCTAAACCAGAAGAGCCCGCTCCCTTAAGGATCCCATGACAAAAAAAGCTGTACCAAGCAGCCATGCTCCAGAGGTAGAACTTGGAACTTCTCCTGAGTTTCAAGGAGTTATGGTTCCCTTTAAGGGTTTAGGGTTTAGGGTTCCCCTTCAAGGTTTAGGGTTTAGGGGGGTCCATCGTTCGGGATTTGGGGGTTTTTGTTTTTGCCGATTAGGTATTGAACACCTAGCAAATCCTGAAACCCTGAACCCAAACATAAAACCTTCGAAACCTGAAGAAGTTACAGAAAAGCCTATGATCCCTAGCACCTATACCCCTTAGAATGGTGCTCGCAGAAAGCACGGAAGCAAAACATGAGAGGAATCCTGGAAGACCCCAGTATCAGCCTAGAGCCAACACTTTGAGAGAGCACCCTCCAAAACTAACTGGGTTCTTGTTAAAGGATTTAATTTAAGTTACCATAATGGGGATCTATTGTAAATAATATGGTTTCCTCATTGCAGTAACTTAAAGTAAATCCCTTAGCAAGAACCCAGCTACGGACCGTTCCAGGAGCACTGTTGAGTCTCCCAAGACACCCACCCCATGAGCGCAAAACCCTGGAGTAGGTTGCGAAGAGGCGAAACACGCAGCTTCCAGCCGAAGACGCCAAAGACTGCGCGAGGAGACGATGCCGTGCACGAAACTACGTACGGCACCGTGGTTGCAGTTCCAACTTCGGGACAACTCCAAAACGGTTTACAACGAGAAAGCCGGCAGAAAGGAGCACAATTCATGTTTAGGGTTTAGGGTTTGAGCTTCGGGAGCAAATCAGTGGAGTCACAATGAAATCCACTGGCCGGGGTCCGCGCGGGACTGTGGGAAGAATGTGATTGCGATTGAAAATCACTAAGGATCTCGCGCACGTCTGGGGAACGATCCCCAAAAGACCTGCATGCATCGCTTATGTAACTGCCTCAATACTAAACCTCAAAAAACCCATCGGCACAAGCGGGCAGTGAAAACCCCATTTCTAGAAACCCAACCGTGAACGCCCTAAAGCGAAGTGCCGGCTAGTTTCATAAATCCACCAGTCAGGTAGATCATCGCTCCCAGCTCGAACTTCAGAGCTTGCTACGTGACCTTGTGATTCTTGAGTCCAAGGAGGGCGGGCGGGGGTTGGGGCTTTGAGGGGATTTACGCTACTTTTTTCCTCTTTGTTGTTTTGTCTTTTGCTTGGTTGCTTGAGGGTTTTTGAAGTGTTAGGATTAAGGTTGAGGGTTTTCGGGCTTCCCTGAGAGGTTCTACATGGCTGTCTTTCGGGATTTAGGGTGCTAGGGCATTTTGGGGCAGCGTGAGTTGCCAAAGGGGCGTCGCTGATAGACTTGCATACGCCGCTTTATGTACATGCAGTCTCCTCATCCCGTTCCCTCTTCGGAGGCACACGCCGGTCTTTTTCACAGCAGCCGCATGCCCAACAGGTTGAAGAGTTGAGGCGCTTGCACCGAAACGTCACCACGCAGCTTTCGAAAGGCTGGCACAAGCCAAGCTGCAGGCAACAAAAGTAGTGGCAGCGACGGCCTCCTTCCCGGGTGGGAGAGGTGGGACCTTTAAAGGCTACGGTCACAGCTTCGTCATCAGCATGAAGAGAACATGCAGTCTCCTCATCCCGTTCCCTCTTCGGAGGCACACGCCAGTTTTTTTTCACAGCAGCCGCATGCCCAAC